CTGTTCACCCCCTACTTTCTGGGCCAGCCCCACAGTGACCTGTCTGCTTGTCTTTCTCAGGACATTGATCTCCTCAAGGTCTCATGCTCCATTTGTCATTTAGACATTATCCTTGAGCTCAAAAGCACACCTTCCCTGTAGCAACTTTTTTTCCCTTATTTCTCAAGAAACACAGTGAATGTTCAAACGTAGAAGGGTTTCTCAGAGGTAGTAGTTTGTTTTTTTTTTCAAAATACAGGATGCTTAGGAAAATCTAGATTTCAGATAAATAATGATACACTCATCTCAGGTACTTCAGACTTATCTGAAATTCAAATTACAGTACTAGTGCTGTATTTTGTTTTGTAAATCTGGCCACCCCAAGGCATACAGACCGGCCTGAGATAGGCAGGCAGCAGAGCTCTACCCCCGAGCCCTTTCTCCCTGCGTGATGAAGGAACTGTAGGCCAGCAGACCTGTGCACTGAGGCTCACAATGGAGAGAGAATGTCAGCCAGGGAGATAATGCCCTGGATCTTGGAAAGCAGGGCAAAAGAACCAGCCTTATGTCAAAGGTAAAGCCTGAGGGATCGTGAAGAGGCAGTCAGGGGTAGGGGTGGGTACAACCACACAGGCACTTGCCCATGGCCACACTGCCCATGACAAAGCCTCCTGTATTGCTCCCATCAGCCGGTCCCACAACATCCCAGGGTTCTTCCAGCCCCAGCGTGCTTTATACAGGAAAGGGAGCTCAGAGCCTTGACTTTGGGGAGCTGCCCCAAGCCAGGAAGCTCCAGGGACAACCATCCCAGCTCACACAAACCCAGATTTTCTGCACAAAAGCTCACTGTAATCTCCCTAACAAAGCCATCCACCTCCCAGAGGCCAAGGCTAAGAGTAGAAGGACAGAAGCAAAGAAGAGCCCAGTTTGGGGCCTTAGATGACACATGGCCTTTGTACAAGCCTTGTCTTCTCTTTCACCGTGCACTGGCAGGGACTCAGCTGCTGGCTATTATTCAGTCTGGTAATCCAGTGCTCTGCACAGACAGGTGGCAAAGGATCCCAACAACTCCTTCCTACAGGACTTCCTTCCTGCTCAAGCTGGAAGACAGCTCAGTCAAGGAGAATCTCCGCACATCTCATCCAAAGCACTTGAGCTCTGGGCAGCATGGTGCATCCTGTACATCTGGCCTGTGGCCCTGCCTAGGAGCACAGCAATCTCTGCCCACTGGTGGAAGTGGCTGCGTCCTGACAGGCAGAAGATGTCACTGTGGTACAGGAAGAGGCTGAGCCCTGGCAGGCAGCCCACACTCCAGGGGCAGTTCTCTAGTGATGCCCACCACACCTACACTATCTGCTAGGTAATTGACTGAGGGGCACATGGTGGCCACGGGAAATGGATGATGGGAATCAGTAATGAAGTAAGCACTCAAACTGATGGTGCATTCTGTGGTGGTGTTGTGATTGGTGTAGGGAGGGTGTGATGTTGCCCTACTACGGTGTGACTATGGTCTGTCTCCAAGAGCTCAAGCTCTGGAAGATTGTAGGTGATGGGAGGTGGTGGGAACTAGGTGGAGCCTCGTGGGGTCTGAGTGGGTCACTAGGTGTGAAGCCCTTGGCCAGAATTAGGAGAGGGAACCCAGTTAGTGTCTAAGACAGTGGGTTGCTATATAAAGAGCAAGACAGACCCTTCCCCGGCCTCTAGGTTCACCGTGTGAGCTACCCTTTCATACATCTCCTGGTGTCTTCCACCAGGCTGTGAGCAATCCCAGGGTGTTCTTACCAGAGACCAAACCAATTGGACTGCTCTCTCTTGGACTTTTAGCCTCCCAAACTCCAAGCTAGACAGGTCTCTTCTCTTTACAAAACACCCAGCCTTGGGTACTTTGTTAAAGTAACAGAAAATCCCCAAGGAGACAGTGATAATACCTGTGCATGTTTTTGCTTGTCATAACCAGGGAGAAGGAGGGTACTGGTATCTCGTGGGTAGATGGCAAAGATGTTCCTTATGTCCTGCAAGGCCCAAGGAAAGTCCTCCACAAAATGAATAATCTGGGAAACACCAGCAGAACTGAAACCGAGAAACACGGTCACAGAAGCACAGAGCAATACTGATAATGAGCACATCATGGAAGCTGGAGCTGAGAGGTAGCATAGCAGGAAGTGGGAGAGCCTCGGGCTGTCCAACTTGCCTGCTCATGCCCTACCCAGAATGGCTTCAACAGGGGGATAACAAATGGCAGTCAAGGTCTAAGCCTGCCAGGAGGCCCCCCCTCCCCAGCCATTCCTTCAAGAGTGTGTAATGCGGTATAGGCTTCGGGACAGGAGTGATGGCTGCTGTCTTTTCTGTTGGGTTTGAACCCATGCCACTGTGGCACTAAATTTTCTGTTCCTGGAGCTGAGTCAGTCCACCCCACCCCCATCATCCATCCACAGTTCATGAAGCAAAAAGCTGGCCAGCAAGGAGAGGGCCCCTTGAATCACAGGAATGACTAAAACCCTCATGCAAAGAAACAATTCTTTGGGGAAACAGCCCCTGCCCCATGACCTCTGCATGTTTCCAGTCAGAGGCACAGATGGCAGGCACTGGGCTCAGTAAAGGAAATACATTCCTGTCAGTATCTAAGCTGCTTCCTCTGGGGATGGAAAACACCATACTCAGCATACAGATCAGGAAACTGAGGCTCAGAGATCCCTGTTGGCTGTGAAATCAAGCCCTGAACCCTTCTTAATAGGCCCTCACAGCTGGCTGGGGCCTAGAGAGATGTCTTACAACACTGCACAACCTTCACAGCCCCGGCAGAGGAGCCTGTGCTTGAGCAGAGATGCATACACTTCTGGCCTATCCCCAATGGGATGGTAGATTTCCCAGATTTTGAGAGAACCTTTCCTGTGCAAACCATTGGCTTTGGGATCCGGGAACTGGTGTGATCTGGTCTGGTTTAGTAAAATGTAAGACTTCATCTTTCTGAGCCTTAGTTTCTTCATCTGTGAAATGGGCTTAAGCAGTGTAATGAGCTAGCACACTCAACAGTCTCCAACAAGAACCAAGATTTGCAAAGAAAAAGAAGAAAAAAGAACAGGAAAATAACAAACAAGCCCACTGAATTGCTCTCAGGAATCAAGGAAACTTTGTGTTTAAAGATGCTGTAGGAACAGAAATGCTCCCCTGCTGTGGGCCGGCCCAGCCTCGTGCCCAGCCAGCAACAAGCCCACAACCATCTTAGAGAACCAGGCCCGTCCCTTCCAGAACCTCAAGGGCACGGGCACTCCGGGGAGGCTGAGAGCCTCCTTTATTCCAAGGAGTCTACGGGGTAGACCTAGCCGGGATTCCGAGAGGCCAGGGGGCAGCGCCCCAGCCAACGCCCTTCCCAGCCATTGTACGGTGCCCCTCTGTCCACGGTGCCCCTCTGTCCACTCGCCTCGCTCCTTCCTGGTTAACTTCTCCACAGCGGCGGCCCCTGCCCCCTGCCTCCCCTCCTGGAGGGACCCGGGGCGGACAGAACTGTGAGGCTCGGGCACCCCCACTCAGGCACGGCTGCCCCTCAGAGGCCCCTCGGGGCCCCGTCTGCGGCGGCTGCCCCTCTTCTCTGCCGGCCGCACCACACACGACAGCCAGGCCAGAAAATAAAACTTGGCGGTGTCAACAGAAGGAGCTGCCTCGAGGGTCGCCAATACTCAGTTCCTGGATCTCTCCAAAGGACAGGCATATCCTGAGACGCGGGGTGTGCCGTCCCCAGGCGCGGGGTGCACCGTCCCCAGACGCGGGGTGCGCCGTCCCCAGACGCGGGGTGCGCCGTCCCGAGACCCCGGGGTGCGCCATCCCGAGACGCGGGGTGCACCGTCCCCAGACGCGGGGTGCGCCGTCCCGAGACGCGGGGCGCACCGTCCCCAGACGCGGGGTGCGCCGTCCCCAGACGCGGGGTGCACCGTCCCGAGACCCCGGGGTGCACCATCCCGAGACCCCGGGGTGCGCCGTCCCCAGACACGGGGTGCGCCGTCCCGAGACCCCGGGGCGCGCTGTCCCCAGACGCGGGGTGCGCCGTCCCGAGACCCCGGGGTGCCCATCCCGAGACCCCTGGGTGCGCTGTCCCCAGACACGGGGTGCGCCGTCCCGAGACCCCGGGGCGCGCTGTCCCCAGACGCGGGGTGCGCCGTCCCCAGACGCGGGGTGCGCCGTCCCGAGACGCGGGGTGCGCCGTCCCGAGACGCGGGGTGCCCCGTCCTGAGACCCCGGGGAGGGGGGGGGGTGTCTGAGGTCGCAAGTCCCAAGCTTTCGTCCGCTCCGGGTCTGTCTCGCGGTCTCCACCGGGCTGGCGACGGCCTGGCAGGCCGCGTGGGGGCCGCGGGCCGGGGATGGACCAGGAGGGCCCGGCGGCGGACGAGCAAGGGGCGGAGCCCCGGGCGCGCGGCGGGGACCGAGTGGGACGGGGAGGAGGGGAGGGCGGCGCGGAAGGCGCACGTTTGCGGCCGGGGCACCGACAGCCTCGCCAGCCGGCCCCGGGCGCGGGGGCCGGGGTGCGGGGCTCGGGGCGCGGGGCCTGGGCGCGGAGGCCTGGGCGCGGGGGTCGGGGCGCGGGGCCTGGGCGCGGGGACCTGGGCGCGGAGGCCTGGGCGCGGGGGTCGGGGCGCGGGGCCTGGGCGCGGGGGCCTGGGCGCGGGGGTCGGGGCGCGGGGCCTGGGCGCGGGGGCCTGGGCGCGGGGGCCTGGGCGCGGAGGCCTGGGCGCGGGGGTCGGGGCGCGGGGCCTGGGCGCGGGGGCCTGGGCGCGGGGGCCTGGGCGCGGAGGCCTGGGCGCGGGGGTCGGGGCGCGGGGCCTGGGCGCGGGGGCCTGGGCGCGGGGGTCGGGGCGCGGGGACCGGGGCGCGGGGGTCGGGGCGCGGGGACCGGGGCGCGGGGACCGGGGCGCGGGGGTCGGGGCGCGGGGACCGGGGCGCGGGGGTCGGGGCGCGGGGGCCGGGGCGCGGGGACCGGGGCGCGGGGGTCGGGGCGCAGGGTCGGGCGCGGCGCGGGCCACACTCACGTAATGCTTGTTGGGCACGCGCCGCTTCTGCACGTCCAGCACCTTCACCTCCACGATGCTGCGCCGCGGCGGCATGGCTGCTGCTCGGTGGGCGCGCGCGGTGAGGGGCGCGGGGCCGGGGACAGGCGCGGTGCGGAGCCCGGAGCCCCGCCGAGCACGAGCCGCCGCCGCCGCCGCCGCTCCCCGCGCCGCCCGCCCCGCCCTCCGCGCCGCCCGCCCCGCTCCCCGCGCCGCCCGCCCCGCCCTCCGCGCCGCCGCCGCCCTCCGCGCCGCCCGCCCCGCCCTCCGCGCCGCCGCCGCCGCCGCCGCCCTCCGCGCCGCCCGCCCCGCCCTCCGCGCCGCCCGCCCCGCTCCCCGCGCCGCCCGCCCCGATCCCCGCGCCGCCCGCCCCGCCCTCCGCGCCGCCCGCCCGCTCCCCGCGCCGCCCGCCCCGCCCTCCGCGCCGCCCGCCCCGCTCCCCGCGCCGCCCGCCCCGCTCCCCGCGCCGCCCGCCCCGCCCTCCGCGCCGCCCGCCCCGCTCCCCGCGCCGCCCGCCCGCTCCGCCCCCTTAAAGGGCCCGGCCCGGCGCGCGGCCTCCGCCGGCCACTTCCGGCCGCCGGCCTTTGTCCCAGCGCGGAGCCGCACCGCGGACGCGTCCCAGCCTCGGGGGCGCGGCCTCCAGCCCAGCCCCGACCCGCGGCTGGGCGGATCAGCCCGGCCTTGCTTTGTCCCCGACGTGTGCGGTGGCGTTAACCCCGCGGCGCGGCCGGCCCACGCGCCGTGGACCGCGCGGCGGGGCCTGCGTTCGGTTTGGAGACCTTCCTCACCGCAGGCGCGGCGCATTCAGAGTCATCTCGAGAAGGGCCGGCGCCGGCGGGGCCGGTGAAGGGGCAGGGAGAGAGCCGATGATGGAGCTGGCAGGGAGCCCATGTTGGAGCTGGCAGGGAGCCGATGATGGGGCAGGGAGCCGATGATGGGGCAGGGAGAGAGCCCACGATGGAACTGGCAGGGAGGGAGCCCTTGATGGAACTGGCAGGGAGAGAGCCCATGGTGGAACTGGCAGGGAGGGAGCCGGTGATGGGGCAGGGAGGGAGCCAATGATGGGGCAGGGAGGGAGCCGGTGATGGAGCAGGGAGGGAGCCCACGATGGAACTGGCAGGGAGGGAGCCCATGATGGAACTGGCAGGGAGGGAGCCCTTGATGGAACTGGCAGGGAGGGAGCCGGTGATGGGGCAGGGAGGGAGCCGGTGATGGGGCAGGGAGGGAGCCCGCGATGGGGCAGGGAGGGAGCCCGCGATGGAGCAGGGAGGGAGCTGATGATGGGGCAGGGAGGGAGCTGATGATGGGGCAGGGAGGGAGCCCATGATGGGGCAGGGAGGGAGCCCATGATGGGGCAGGGAGGGAGCCGGTGATGGGGCAGGGAGGGAGCCCATGATGGGGCAGGGAGGGAGCCGGTGATGGAGCAGGGAGGGAGCCGATGATGGGGCAGGGAGGGAGCCCGTGATGGGGCAGGGAGGGAGCCCATGATGGAGCAGGGAGGGAGCCCATGATGGGGCAGGGAGGGAGCCCATGATGGGGCAGGGAGGGAGCCCATGATGGGGCAGGGAGGGAGCCCGTGATGGGGCAGGGAGGGAGCCGATGATGGAGCAGGGAGGGAGCCCATGATGGGGCAGGGAGGGAGCTGATGATGGGGCAGGGAGGGAGCTGATGATGGGGCAGGGAGGGAGCCGGTGATGGGGCAGGGAGGGAGCCCGCGATGGGGCAGGGAGGGAGCCGATGATGGAGCAGGGAGGGAGCTGATGATGGGGCAGGGAGGGAGCCGGTGATGGGGCAGGGAGGGAGCCGATGATGGAGCAGGGAGGGAGCTGATGATGGGGCAGGGAGGGAGCCGGTGATGGAGCAGGGAGGGAGCCCATGATGGGGCAGGGAGGGAGCCAGTGATGGAGCAGGGAGGGAGCCGGTGATGGGGCAGGGAGGGAGCCCATGATGGGGCAGGGAGGGAGCCGATGATGGGGCAGGGAGGGAGCCGATGATGGAGCAGGGAGGGAGCCGATGATGGAGCAGGGAGGGAGCCGATGATGGGGCAGGGAGGGAGCCCGTGATGGGGCAGGGAGGGAGCCGGTGATGGGGCAGGGAGGGAGCCCATGATGGGGCAGGGAGGGAGCCGGTGATGGGGCAGGGAGGGAGCCGGTGATGGGGCAGGGAGGGAGCCGATGATGGGGCAGGGAGGGAGCCCATGATGGGGCAGGGAGGGAGCCGGTGATGGGGCAGGGAGGGAGCCGATGATGGGGCAGGGAGGGAGCCCATGATGGAGCAGGGAGGGAGCCGATGATGGAGCAGGGAGGGAGCCCGCGATGGGGCAGGGAGGGAGCCCATGATGGGGCAGGGAGGGAGCCGATGATGGAGCAGGGAGGGAGCCGATGATGGGGCAGGGAGGGAGGTGATGATGGAGCAGGGAGAGAGCCCATGGTGGAACTGGCAGGGAGGGAGCCCGTGATGGGGCAGGGAGGGAGCCCATGATGGAGCAGGGAGGGAGCCGATGATGGAGCAGGGAGGGAGCCCGTGATGGGGCCCTGCCCGGAGGCAGGGAGGAAGACACTGGAAACCTGGGTGGTGGGATGCTCACCCCTCTCTACATCGCCTCCACAGTAATAACAAAGTGAAGTATTTTTAATAAAGAGAGGCAGAGATGGTGTGCTAGACCGGCTCAGCTTCCTGAATGATCAGGATTCCAGGCGTGAGACCTCTGGACCTCAGCTGCCTGTCTCTAGATTTGACTATTCTAGGTATTTCCACATAAACAGAATTAAGCAATGTTTAGCTTTTCCCAGCCAACTGCAGGGCTCACTTCAGCCCTCAAGGGGCCTGGGGTGCTTTCTCAGGGGCCTCTGTCATCTGGGGAAAGGTGGAGGTTTGTTACAGGAGGGAACTTATTCCTCAGCCTCCCCAGTCCGGCCCCAGGGCAGTCTGCTTCTGATGTACTTTGGAAAAAAGAAAAAGCAGACATCGTTTTTAACTTAGGGCCTAAAGTCAAAGAAGGATACTGTGAGTGCCATCTTGTGGGGTGGCTAAAGGGATCTTGGCTGCTTGGAGAAGTAATTTGTATGCGATTCTATTTTATAGTATCTGAATGTTTAGCAGGTATGTTTTGTACAGAAAAACATTTTAAGATTGCTTTTTTCCTGGGACTTCATCATAGCAGGGAAGCTAAAAGGGCTCCTTTGCAGGCCAGTCTCAGCCAAAGGTGAGACAAAGGTAAGAAATAATCACGAAGCTGGGCACTGATGTGGCTCTCGCCTGTCCTCCTAGCTACTCAGGAGGCTGAGATCTGAAGATTGAGGTTCAAAGCCAGCCCGGGCAAGAAAGTCTGTGAGACTCTTAGCTCCAATAAACCACCAGAATACGGGAAGTGACACTGTGGCTCACATGATAGGGCAGTAGCCTTGAGCTGAAAAGCTGAGGGACCGCCTCCAGGTCCAGAGTTCACACCCCATGATCTAAAACAACAACAACAAAAACTCCTCCCATGAGCAAAGGAACAACAAAAACTATTTTATAAAGTCAGAGTTGTTTTGTTTTGCTTTGTTTTTGTCTATCTGTAAGTCTTTTATTTTTTATTTTTTTATTTTTTGCCAGTCCTGGGGCTTGAACTCTGGGCCTGGGCGCTGTCCCTCATCTCTTCAGCTCAAGGCAAGCACTCTACCACTTGCGCCACAGCAACACTTCCGGCTTTTTCCGTTTATGTGGTGCTGAGGAATCAAACCAGGGCCTCATGCATGCAAGGCAAGCACTCTACCACTGAGCCACCTTCCCAGCCCTATCTGTAAGTCCTTAAAAGGATCACCTTACAATTGTGGGGAAAAAAAAAAAGGATTGTTTTAGGTAAAGCTCTGTATATGAGTTTGTCTAATTGTCCTTTTATCTACAGTGTCTAGTTTTCAATAAATAAACTGTTCAGTAGGACTTTTGGCCTTTTTTTTTCTGGAACGGTTCCCCTCGACTCAGATGTGAAGATTTTATTGGTGCCCTTCATGTACACTCTTCTTCTTTAATATATTCATAATTTTTCATGAAAGCAAAATCTAAACAAATGTGCATATGTAACATGTTTAAATGTGGCATTGCTTCTGACCTGCTCCTTGGCATTTCCAATGTACTTATGTTCTGTATGCATAGAAGTCAGTCTTCCAAGATGCCAGCCAGGTTCAAGGTGAAACTGTACCAAGCCGGTGTCTTCTAAGTGATGGTTACTAAAGGGAGCTATCTCCACAGGCTTGTGTGTACGTGTTCTTCATTGTCACAGGAGAGCCTGGCCATGCTAATAGAAGGCTGTTAGTCAGTGCTACCCTAACATGCTATAGGCCAGGAGGACAAGTACTTTGGCCTGTCACTGCCACCCTTCCCCCCACCCCCACCCTTTTAGGAACTTTAAAACCATGGGTCTTCTAAGTTTCTTTTTCTTAAGTTTTTGTCATTACACTTTTGTTCCTTCTTGGAAGTTTTTTGTTCTCAATTCCTTCATAATCACTGTATCTACAAGTCCCTATTTATTAATCCAGGGAACTTTTAAACATTTTCTTTTCTTCCCTTTTTGTTTTGCTGGCACTTTTGTTTTTGACACTGTGAGGAGTACAGCCTCTACCAGTAGCAACCTAAGTAGTAGGAGGGAAGAGGTGGCAATATGGATAGGGTTCTAAGTGGCTGTCCAGCTGGTGGCCATTCCTCTCCAAAGAAAGACCACCTATGGAGAGCTGGCTGCTTCTGCAGTCTTTATCTGATGTTGAAGCTACAGTAGAGAACTCAGACCTTTACTTTACAGGAAGAAGGAGAGACAGGAGAAAACAGCTGATACATCAGTCTTGGAAAAGAGGATATACCAAGCTGTGGAGGACTGCAATGTAGAGAGGGGCCCACGAACCCAGCAATCGGCCAGTCACAAGCAGAATCTCTAGGCCCTGGGAGAATATGCTCAGAAAAGATGTTCCTGCTGAGGTTAACTAGGACTCAATTGTGTAAGGCAAGTGGCCCTTTCTGCTGAGCTCTGTTACAAACCTTGTGGGGAAGTTTCAAATTGACAGAAGATGTGTTACACACATTCTGACATGGATGCAGGAGTGTCCAGGAGGGTCTAGGTAG